TGCAGGCTTCGAGTGCTAGAGTCCGTGGTGAACATTGTACAAATTCCAGGATCCAGTGCCCAGCATCTCCTCCCCTCAAAATAAAGACTTGTGCATTTACAAGTGACGGCATCCACTTCAGGTGTCCTCCTGGGCTCTGCAAGTCCCAGGAAAGCAGGAGTGGAAGGTTTTGGTGTATAAGTGTTACTGTGAAAAGTGCATGAGAAGTTAATCCTGCTCACTAACTGCCTGGCCATGAAGGTCACAGCTGCTGGGAATGTGGCTCAGTGGCAGAGCACTTGCCTAGCACGAATAAGGCCCTGGGTGTGATTCCCAGCACCATTACAAATCTAACCTGATCCCTCCACTCCATTCTCTGGCTCAGATGAGGGTCATCGATTATCTACAGAGCTTCAGAAGCTCCTGGACGAGGTGCCCTTGCTCCCACCTGTCTCCTTGAACTTATTCCTTAAGACCCAGATGAAAGCCAAGGCTAAAAGTCTTGCGTTTAGCCACAAAACAATGGATGAGGAATCTTGCTAACAGTTCTGATTGGCTGACATTTACAGAGGCCAGGCTAAGGCTGGCAGTCCCAGCCGCTCACTTCCTGGATTTTCCTTCATTATTCATGTAGGTTGAGCCAACGTGATTGTGAAGTATACGCACGTATTTACTCCATCCCCCCAAACTCATGAAAAGCCCCCAGGAAACCAAATCAAGAGAGGCATCGGGACTCTAGACTTGAGGTTTAAATGTGGGTCTGTAAGGAACTAGCATACTTGGTGGCGAGCACAGTCTGTAAAGGGTAGTGTGCCCCTGCTGTTAGGAAAATTGGTATCACAAAGCTTTATCCCGAGTGTGGTGACATTCTTGTAACCCCAGAACTCATGAGGTGCAGGCAGAAGCAGGAAGATCTCGAGTTTGGGGCCAACCTGAGCTACACAGACCCTGTCTCATAACAAAAATAACCTTTTAAAATTTCTCAAGAGCCGGGTGTTACAAACAGCTTTAATCCCAGCATCCCGGAAAGAGAGGCAGGTGAATCTCTGTGATTCTGAGGCCAGCCTGGTCTACATAGTGAGTTCCAGGACAGCAGGACCATAGAGAGACCCTGCCTCCAAAACTAAAATAGTAGTAATAATAAGGCAAAATTCTGAAGAATGTGAAATTCACTGTGTATGCCCGCTGCTTGTATAACGTCAGGTAGGAAGTGAGGCACACAGCCAGATGTAGTTTCAGGATCTCGAAGATGCTACCAACTTTTCAATGGGTCCTGAGATTTGGAAAATACAGTCTCATTGGACCCAATTATTACTACTAAGTTGTAGTTAGAAAATATAGCAGAAGCCAAGCCTAGAAGGTGTGTGCCTGTAATTCCAGCACTTGGGAGACTGAGGCAGGAGGATCAGATAGATGTTCCAGGCTAGCCTGTCTCACAATACAACCAAAGCAGTAGTAGGAGCTGAATGAAATGAGGGCTTTAGGAAATTAAACTTGTGAAACCAGCTACAGTTGATATCACGTGAACAGTGTAAGCCCTTGCAATTCGTGGCTTTTTTATGAAACCATAGGGATTATTAACAATTAATAGACTAATATAATACAGAAAAGACAGGCTGGGTGGTAGTGGCCCATGCCTTTAACTGCCCTTGGGAGGCAGAGGCAGTGGATATGGAGTTTGAGGCCAGCCTGGTCTACAGAGGGAGTTCCAGAACAGTCAGGGCTACACAGAGAAACCCTGTCTCAAAAAAACAACAACAAACCCCAGGCCCCTGACCCTGAAAAAACCAGAAAAGCAACTCATGCCATTGGTAAGAAACAAGGAAACTTCCTTTTGGTTTGACTTGGTTTGGTTTTGAGGTCTTGGGGACTGAGCCTGTAGCAAGGACTGTGTCACTGGGCTCCAGAGCCCAAAGTTCAGATGGCATCAAGTTCAGAACTGCTTGTTCTTACAGCTGTATCCGTTCGGAGTCCTGTGTGCATGCCTTTGCTGACGGTGGACTCCTTCCTGCCTGTCTTGTAACATCTGTGTGATCCCTAGCAGAGTGGAACTTTTTATAGAACTCAATGTTCTCATCAATGTCATCTTTACAGTTTTAGGAATGAACATAATTTACCATATTCCTTTTTTTTTACTTTGTTGTTGTTGTTGTTGTTTTGAGACAGGGTTTCTCTGTGTAGTTTTGGTGCCTGTTCTGGATTTCGCTCTGTAGACCAGGCTGGCCTCAAACTCACAAAGATCCGCCTGCCTCTGCCTCCCAAGTGCTGGGATTAAAGGCGTGCGCCACCACTGCCCGGCACCATATTCCTTTTTAAAAAACACAGGTAAAATAAATAAGCTAATATAACATTTATTCTGTATTAATCAATACATGTATTAATTCAGCTTGAAAACTTTTTCTCTACAGAGTATTATTTCTTTAATATGAGTCTCTGATTCACAGTAATACTAATGTTAGGGAGGATACAAAATGGTACTCTTACTTTTATAATGGCTCATCCATTTAACATTTCTACAGGCCAAGAACTGACATGTGTGGCATTTTACAGACCTTTTTTTTTTTTCTGTACCTGGTCACAAATCAGAATGAACATACTGTGTCCAGACTGCCATATTCAGGTCCCGGCTCCCCCACTCCAGACAAAACCACTCTTTCTACTTCCGTTTGGCATTTCTCTTCCTGCACTGTCTGTGGCTCTGCCTTCCCCCTGGTTTCTGTTGCTACTTCCTTCGCCACACACACACACACACACACACAC